TGCTGGGGTTTCTCTTAAAGATGGACACTGCACTCTCTGTAGAAAAGAAAGATCTCCCTGGAATAAGTCTTTACAGTTACTAGGAACACACTGCTACAACTTCAGGTGCAACTCACACCATAAGGCTATACCAGTCATCAGCTTGTCACACACAGACAAAATACTGAACTGATACTCTGCTTATTTGCCCATGCCATACAGGTAAACTGTTCTTCTTTTGAAGTATCCACAGCACTAAGTTGCAAGGGTTGGGAAGCCTGCTTTCTCATGACCTGGCCTAGAAACCCCCCTCAGACCAAGATCCCCCATTTGTTCATACAGCAGCACACACACAGTTCCTTGTCTTTAGAAACTTACCATTCATGCACAGCTTCCCCAGTAAACCAGCAATGCATATCCTTTACAGAATACACTTAGACATGGCGGTATAACTGGCAAACAGGAAGAGGCATGCAACAACTAAACCAAAAGCCCACCCTGAATTTAAGCCAAGTATTCAGGCAGGTGCGTAACAATACGTGCAAATCTGGTAGGAAGGTTCCAAATGTGCACTTGAATTTATCTGATATGCACACAGACATATCTGAGCAGTGTTTCTTCAGCACAGATCTGCAAGAGCCTGGTATCAGGTGGCACTAACATCAGAACTCAGGGAGTAAGTCTCCAGATGTCGTAGAAGTTGAGAAGAAAAAAAATCCCCGGCCAACAAAATAAATAGGAAATACACCACGCTCCCCAAACACCAACTCTTGTTTTTGAAACATTATTTCAAATGGCTAACAGTTTAAAACTGAGGATGAGTTAACGCATCTATAAACACACAGCTAAGGATAATGGGAAGACCTGTGATAGTGTCACAAAAGCAAACAGCTACAGAGCTTTAAGTTCCTGCCTCAAATGCAGCACCATTCCAAAGGCAGAATCCCACCGTCACTGTTTCAGACTTCTGTAAACATGCAGGAAATTCCACAGTTATCATCTTAATTGATGCAATCAGAAGACCAATTCTTCTCTAGAAAAGTAAAGGCAAGTTACCTAGTATTCATTTTGTGTGTCTGAAAACCTAAGTAAGGATCAAGAACCAAACTAGTTGCTAGGTCATCGTTCTCACACAGTTCCTTGGCAGACATTCCAGAGGAAGGCACATAACGACTCTGACCCTCAAATCCCGAAGCACCACTACCTGCAAATAAGAAAGCATAAACCAGGTATCATTTACGGAACGTTCCGAAACCCACCTACATCAGGGGGAGGGGAGGCTGCAACTGAAGTTTGGATAGCCATAAATAAATAAATGACAAAGGAAGAAGCAGAAGCACAGATCATTTTTAGCTTGCTTTTGTTGGTTATTGTAGCTGACAACAGCATTTCAGAATGTATTTTTATCATATTGTATTTTGGCTTCCTTCTCTCTCCACCTCTCCACATACAAGCATATTCCAACACAACCCAGTCATACTTGCCTCTAAACTTTAAGGCCTATGAGTGTGACAAAGCCATACAAATTTAAGTCTGACTGTCCTAAAATTTGAAACAAGAGTTTTTTTCCAAATTTCTATTTCATTCCTCACTCCAAGTCAATAGCAAAAATAAACACCCATGTTCCTTAGAACAGCTTTCAAACTACTACTGACACATGTGACTTCACTGAAAATGGGGTTTATTTCTACACAAACACACATTCACTAAAATTTGGGCTAGTAACTTGAGTCATATCTGTTACCTAGCTCTGACTGCACTAGTTCTCAGTAAGTGCCAATCATGTATTTTGCACACAACCAGCTTCAGATTAACATATGTTCTATCACTTAACTTCTAAACTGAAGAGAGCCATATTCCCCAAATGAGTTGCAACATCCAACAAACACAAACATGACCAGTACTTTTGATAAGAGTTACATGCACACCTCCTTTGTGAATTAAGACACAGCAGGAGCCTGGCAGACAAACTGATAGACGAAGCACAAACACCAAACTGCACAAACATGTACGTACATCTGCTTGATCTTCTCTCAACTCCATTTTTGCCAGACCTGGGATTCTCCTTTCCTGTGTGCTGCAATTTGGTTTGATTTTGCACGTGGTCGTTAGACGCCCTGCTTCCACTCCTCCTGCCATTCACCACCATGTTCTTGGATTCTCCCAACCACTTCATGCCCACAGACAACCTGACCCAGTTGCATTTAGTCACTTTTCAAAAGGCTCAGAGAAGTGGATGAATAATTTCAGCTCCAATACCTACTGGAAACAAAACATACACATCATTAGAAGATCTGTTTCCAAGACAAAGCTTTAACACACACTCACATTTTAAAAAGAAAGGTAAAAAAATGATATGCATTTGCATTAAGAAAAAAGAAAAGTAGTTCACTAGCACTGGTACAAGGAGCTGTTGCAAACAGACTCTCATAGGTGAACTGCCCTGCAACTCACTGACACATCTTGAAGCAAAGACAGAATTCTAAAGCTGATATATGGTTAAAGACAACGTCTACATTAAATGCAGGCCTATCTAATTATGCAGTTACACACACACATACACACAGAATCATAGAACGGCTTAGGTTAGAAGAAATCTCTAAAGATCAATTAGCTCCAACCCCTTGTCATGGGCAGGGCTGCCCCCCCATGAGATCAGGCTGCTTAGGGCCCAATCCAACCTGGCCTTGAGTGCCTCCAGAGACGGGGCATCCTCAGCCTGTGCCAGCGCATCACCACCCTCTGAGCAAAGAATTTCTTCCCTAACATCTAATTTAATTTCTTCTCTTTTAGATTAAAGCTATTCCTCCCTGTTCTGCCCACTCCTAGACCACATAAAAAGTTGTTCCCTTTCCTGCCTATAACTCCCTTCAAGCATATACATCAATATATGCAGACATGTGACTCCAGGAAACTGAGCATTTTTACACATACACCCAATTAAGGTTGTATTTCCTAATAAGTGTAGCATGCAACCTGCTTTGAACTCTACAGCAAAAACTGACGTTACACAAACACCCTCCAAAAAGTAAGAAAGTATTTAAAAAACAATCAAGTAAACCACCCAAACCCACACAAAACCAACAGCATTTTTTTGAATGGGGATGGGGGAAAAAGGTTAAATCTTCATTTAGAAACAGTACGCAGCTATATTTAAAAATCCCTTGGTGATGACCCTGGAAGACCCAGGCAGCTTCTGGATCACGTGACAGGAACGCAACAACACACCTGGCTCAATGGGCCATCATCACTGAGGTTGGAAAAGACCTCTAAGATGACCAAGTCCAATCACTGCCCACCCTTGCCGTACCCACCGACCTCATCCCTCAGTGCCACATCTACCCTTTCCTTGTACACCTCCAGGGACGGTGACTGCACCACCTTCCCGGGCAGCCTGTGCTGCTGCATCACCACTGTTTCAGAGATGCTTCCTGACATCCAATCCGAACTTCCCCTGGTGCAACTTGAGGCCATCCCCTCTCATTCTATCACTGTCACCAACTAGAACAGGCTGACTCCCACCTCCCCACTACCTCTCCTCAGGTCGATGTAGAGAGCAATAAAGTCTCCCCTGAGCCTCCTCTTCTCCAGACTGAACCACCACAGCTCCCTCAGCCATGCCCCATCAGAGCTGTGTTCCAGACCCCTCACAAATTCGCTGTCCTTCTCTGGACACGCTCTGTGCCTTCAATGTCCCTCTTGTAGTGAAGGGCTCAACACTGAACACAGCACTGGAGGTGCAGCCCCACCAGAGCTGAGTACAGGGGGAGGATCAGCTCCCTGCTCCCGCTGGCTGCGCTATTGCTGATACAAGCCAGGATGCTGCTGGCCTTCTGGGCCACCTGGGCACACTGCTGGCTCACGTTCAGCCGAGCACTGACCAACACTCCCAAATCCTTTCCTTCCGCACAGCTCACAGCCACACTGCCCCAGGCCTATAGACGGCTACGGGCGCTCCCTTCCTTCCCTCCCACCCGGCTCCCTGCTGCCCCCTAGGGCCTACCGTTCTGTCCGGGCCTTCCCCACCGCGGGGCTGGGAGGGGGACGGACGCCCCTCGATGAGGGAGGCCCCGACGGGGAGGGCTCTGCCCCGCCGCCATTTTGTGCCCCCCGCGCTCACCTTAGGCCGCCTCCGCGCCGCCGCTGGTGCTGCCCCAGCGTCCGCCGGGTGCGAGAAATGGCTCATCCAAGGCAAAGGAGCGAGAAGGGAAATTAAAAAAAAACAAAAAAGAAAA